TATATATATATATATATATATATATAGACATCCAACTACACAAGATAATAAAGATAAAAATGAAAAATATAAAATATATACACTTTTCCAAGGGAACAGAATATGTTTAGATTTCTTAACCTCATGCAGCTTTCTGAGACTCTATATTGTTGAATAGGAGCCTTGTGATCATGTAGACAACGCTTCCTGCAATCCTCAAAACGGCTCAGTTTGTACCACACCCATCAAAAACAATCAAAACCCAGGTAAGGCAGAGCACAGTCAGATACATCAAATCGATCAAGTTTTGACAATGTAGAGGTTACCTCTAAATGTTCCCACACAGGATCAGGTCCTGAGAGTTCCACCTTTTTCAGCGGCAGCCCCTTCAAGGTCCTTTCCCCTCAGCCGCCTAAATTCCTCAAGTCTTTGCTTCCTGTCAAAGAGGAGAACAAGGCAAAGAAAGCCCTGGAGGCTCGGCCGCTGCTGGGACTGGAGGTATAGAGGACTGAATTCAGTCTGTGTATATTTTTTTTTTGTTTTGTTTCTTTTAAGGTTCATTTCTTATGTTTTTTCACTGTTTTCTGTGAGCATTGACTCTTCCTCACCTCCATCTTTCCTGGTGTTGTCATTCCTAAACTATACATTTGACCATATATTCCATCAAATGCCATTTTCAAACTGGTTTAATACAGTGCACTTAAATTGACATAAGCCTGCTGCCTTCAGAGTTGTTTTTGACAGCTTGTGTTCACTACTTTTTCTTCTCTATGTGACTGCTCTTATCAATTAATATAACCATTATTTATATTATTTCTATTAGTAAAGTGTCCTAAATGAGGTTTTAGTACTTTAACTTACTGTACAGTCAGTAGTACAAGGGTTAGTTGGCTGAATTGTAATCATAAGTCTAAACTTTGCAATGTATCATTTGCAATAATAAAAGCAGTTCTTTCAAAGAGTCAGCTTTTTTTTGTAAGCTGATAAATAGATCTGTAGGTTTTCTGAAACTCTTTCTTAGAATTTCTTTGGACTTTGCCTGGTAAACCATTCACTTCCTACTAAGTTAGTATGTTTTTTTTTTCAGAGGGGTTTAGAGCAAGGAGTTTTGTTGTCAAAGATAAAGCCTTGTGTGAAGCAGCCATTTTTTTTGCTGCTTTTTTAGGCACTGTCATAACATCTGTATTTCAGAAACATCTTGGTCCTTAAACAATATATATCTATAGAACACCTGCATAGCAGTGATATGCATTTTCCATAAAACATATTTAACATTTGTTAAAATGGAAGCAGGTTTAATATAAACAATAAGGGGCCTAAAATATCTTTGTTGCAGACAAAGGAGTGGAAAAGGAGTTTCGTTTTGAAGCTGCTAAAGAAAATAATCATTCAGAAAAATATGGAGAGAGCTATTCCTAAACAGACCAATAGACCTTGTATCTAACTATGATGCCATATTGTGCAGTCTGGTATAGAGATGGATAAGAAAAATAAAAAAAATACCTTTGTGACAGGTTTGCTATAAACAAACTGTCTATAAGTCAACATCTCATTAATGAAACAACACTTTTTCACATACTTGCATTTGGACCTTTTAAAAGATCCACATTCATTGTCCTAATAAGCAAAAAACCCATTTGCCAAAAAAAATTGCCAAATATTGGAGTGAAGTTAAAATCAGCCAAAGTCCAAAGACCAAACATGTTGATTAATAGTAATCGTATTTTGGAGGGAAAAACAACAAATGAAACACTTAAAACGTAACATTTTTCAGCATGTTGCATGATCAGCACAGTTAAAAGGTTGCACTCTTCTAATTTGGGGCACACCAAGCACCGTCTTTGTGAAATATTAAACAGCCCGGCACTAACTGTGTAACCAGCCTGCTCAGCTCCATGCATGTTGTCGTGTGTGAGTGTGAAGTGTGTGCTGTTGTTTTGACTCATCTGCAGAGCATGCGCTCATGTGTGGACATCCCTGCACTGCTCCCCTCTTCCTGCTCCTGGCCCCGACCCAGGGCAGGCAGTGAGGGCCACTGCAAGCGTTCCACCCCCACCCCCACTGCCACCAGCAGGCAGCTCAGCCGCACACAGTCACTCACTGCTGTAAGTGCTACATCTTAATACATACATACAGAAACTGCACTTTGTGACATGTCTCACTTACTAATAACTGCAATGGCATCAGACTGTGTTCTTTGATTTAAGAGCCTCAGCTGCGCCATGAATTGCTGGGTCTTTGCATGAGTCATTGTGTCATCTATGAGTCACACAACTCTAGAAAAGTTTTGGATGTCTGACCAGAAAACATAATTTCCAGCCCTGAGGGGAGAGCATGAGGCTAAATTTACTAAAAAATAAAAGATTGCTTATTTCTAAAAATGTGTAAGAATCAGTCTATCCGAAATTAAAAAACTAATAACCTGTCATCCTTTTATAGTTTTACATGTATTCTGTATCGATCGACTGAAAAATAAACATATCTTTGTTTTTAAAGGAGAGATGACATTAAATCCGATTCAGTATTCTCGGGTTTATACTTTTCATTAATTATAGCAAATAAATCTAAATCTTATATAGGATTCCTATTTTTTTTTTTTTTTCCGAAAAATGTATTATTCTACAGGTATCAGTTGGGACCAGGGTAGAAAAAGTTATCTCTGGATTTTATGCCATTTCTCATGACACTTCAAAAGCTGTGATCAAATTTGGGCTTAAGGGCAACAGGGACCGTATGAAAATTTTATTTCTCCCAAAAATAGCTGAAGACCGAGCCTTAAGAATCTGCAGATATTTCCAACAAATTGACATTGGTTTCTAGACATGAACACTAGCTTCCATGTTTTTTTATAATAATCTCCATGCACCTTGACCAGAGTGAAAGGTCATTTATTTAATAAAACTCCCCTATCTGCTCAGAATCTTCAAAAACTTCAGTTTTACCCACAACTCAAAATGTTAGGGAATCATTCTATTTTCTGACAAATTTCTTGAAAAAAACGAAGACAAAGAGTACCTAAACAACAAAATTTAAAGGGTTCCTTATTTTGTAATAATTAAACTGTGGTAATCAATGTAAGAAAGAGACGAAAGTATTGCTGAGTCTCTCCAAAACCTTCCAACTACCCAGTACAGGGAGAAACACAACAGTCAGGTATATTATCCTCTTTCCTCGCAGCTTTACAATAAAAGCTTACATTCTGCTTTCACAATAAAAGCTTACATTCTGCCTTCACAATAAAAGCTTACCTTTTGGTGGGAAACAGTAATATGTGTCCACCGCAAAACTTCAGTTTTGGAGCAATCTGTGGACCTCAGGTTTAGTCTGATATTAAGCAACAAAAACATTTTTGTCTAGAAGTTTGGACAAATACAATCATATTAGATAATTACAGGAAAACACATAATTTCATTTTATATATTAATATATTCATAATAGTGTTTTAAAGCATTTTTCTGTTGACCATGATTTTCCTCTTGAAATTTTGAAAAAAACAACATTTAGGACAAGTATATTATATCAATAAAATAAAAAATAAACTTAGAAACATGCTAAAATAGGGAAGTATCTAATACCCGTTCAAAGGTTGTTGTCTTTACAATGTACTTAATCTGATAAATGAGCCTTATCTGAATCCCTATTCTAATTTGTTATAGCAAATGACACGATATCATCATTACTATCAATCATTTTGACACATAAAGGTAGCATGTATCCCACCTCATGTTTATGTTACATCATTCCTTACCATTCCCACTGACTCTTTAGTTACTGAGTGATAACAGACTACCTAACAAATTCAAATTAACTTTTTTCTTGCCGCCTCTGTTTTTATCAGCATGACTCTGAAGACGAGGAGACGGACGTGTCTCTGAATCTGAATCGGGGCCCTCTGGACCATGCTTGCTTTCAGAGTTACATTCCAGAGGATTTTGCTAACTTTGAGGTATACAACGCCACTCTGGAGAGCCAGGAAGGGTTTCGCTCTGACTTGAAGGGAAGCCGCTGTGGAGGTGGGAGCGGAGACAGGGAGGTGTCGCGCAGCCCCACAGCCAGCAGCTGCACCAGCGGCTACTTTTCCCACAGCGATTCCAACGCCACTCTGTCCGACGTGCCTTTCAGCACCAGTGAAAGCTCCGACCACCTGAGCTGCCCCTCCAGAGAGTCCCAGGACCATCCTGGTCGGAGCTCTGCTCAGAGCAGAAGTGGTTCGGCGGGAACCAACGCAGAGCAGCCTCTTTCATCATTTGGTGCTTCTGATCAGCTCATCCATCCAACGTCCTCTCCTGTCACTATTCCTACCTGCACAGAGAAGCAGCACACTGTCTCACTGCCTCATAACTGTATTCTCAGCACCAGCCAGGAGTTTACTGACTTTAAAGGGGCTGATGACAGTATTGGAGATGGGGATTTGGCCCATTTTACAGAGGAATGGGGGCAGGGTGGGTTGGACATTTCTACAAACCACTGCCAGAAGGAACCAGAACATTTAAAAACATGTGACGATGAAAATCAGCACTTATCTGACCCACAAAAGGTAGCTTTCAGTTGCCCTAATTTTAAAGACCCTGTGAGTGTTACTGTTTCCTGCTCCAACACAAAAGTACCTTGCACTTCATTGAACACCTCAGTCTCTGCCCCCGTTAGAGGGCTGGCTCTGTCCGCGTCCTCCAAAGATCTCTCTGCATCGCTCCCATCCCCAGCATCAACATCTGCAATTAAACCTCCGCCAACGGCTCGAACCCGTGGCCCAGCTCAAAGAGCGGGAGGAGAGCCGCCTATCCAGGAGCCGGCCCAAGGAGATCTGCCTCATGGGAGCCCCTGCCCCAGCCCCAACCCTAGCAGCGCCGAGCCCTCTGGGGACTCCAGCGGAGATGAAAGCACCCCTGTCGCTCAGCTTCCAGATTGGATGGCACCTGGAGAACAGGTGTGGGTAGGAAAGAGGAAAGGAACAGTCTACTATGTAGGAGGAGTGGAGTTTGCAAAGGGGATCTGGATTGGTGTCAAGCTGGATTTGGCCGTGGGTAAGTTTCTGTTTAAAGAGCAAAGGGAATATGTTGAAATGACTGGTAAATATAATATTTAGTGCTCGTTATGTTTAGTATTTTTTAAAGCTGCATGTCCCCATTAAGCACAGAATATCTGGGTATCACAGGGAATAGAGACCTGTACTAACTCAGCTGTTGTGGCCAGAATCAGACTGTTTTCAGCTCTAATAAAGACGGCAGATCCAATGGCCTAACAGCAAAATTTAAGGAAGAGCTTTTCATCAGCTCTTGAATATGTTGCCATTTTGGATAAAATGTAAAAGTTATCATTTTTGAATTTGGTTTAAAAGAGGTATAGAATAGTTTTCTAAAATATACCATCAACATGTTTTATTTAAGAAATAAACATCAAGGTATGTAAGATTCCCAATGGAAAAGCACTTGGGGAAAGACCACCTTCAAAGTTATTAAGTAGCATCATTATTTTTTTTTCTAAAATGTTGTACAGCTTAATCTCAGTATTCTTTAGAGCAGGGGTAGGCAAGGTTTTGCATGTGTCCCTTCTTCAACACATCTGAAACAAATTAATGTTTAAAGGCCAGGCCTCTGATAAACTTACCAACACTCAATGGAGGTAATCTG